TTTTCAGAGATGGAAAACCCTAAAAAATAATCGATCGATCGTCGAGAGAAAAAAAACAACAAATCGATAGAAACTCAGAGATGGAGATTCAATCGATGAAGATAAACTGGATTGCGGAAGCGAAAATCGAAGGATCGTTGGCGATTGATACCATATTAGATTGAAGAACAGATTGAAGAACAAGAGCAACACGGGAAAAGAAGAACAAAAGACTGCGTATTAATTTTGTGAATGGAAAAAGTGAGTACAGAGATGATGTTCCCCTTATTTATACTTAGGGTTGTACAAGGGTATAAAAGTAATTACAATTGTAAGCTATAGTTGTTGTTTTGCAAACAACAACTTTACATGAAAAATATTACAACAACTTTACATATATATTATTAAGTCCTCCAACGTCATTTACTTTTATATATGCATGAAATAGTTTTTAAGTAGTGACAATTTTTCAACAATAGTTGGATTTAATAAGCCTTATTCAGAACTAATCATTCGATCAACAAATTGTGAAGGATGATATGGATTTTTTTATATTTGATTAACCACAAAAGTAATTAAGGAATTCATTTTTCTTGTGTAGAAAGTAGGGAAGAAACATAAATTCGTTCGAAATGAAAAATAAAGAGGAAATAATTATTACTAAAATAAAAAAAGTTAAATAAAATTATTAAATAGTGAAGATAGATAATTTAGGTAATTTATTTGTTAATTCTTCAGAACTATCCAGTTTAAAATGAAAAAGAAAATGATAGGTGAATTTTTCTCTTAAATTTCTTTTTTATTCTTTCCCTCCCCAAAATTGCAACCACTATCCAAACCAAACAAGCCAAAAACCGGTCTAATCACATTATTGATATAGGATTAAACCGGTCTAATCTCATTATTGATATAGGATTCCACTACAAGCTCGTGATAATACTTAACTTTAACCAAGAGTTAAATTACAACATAAAAAATAATTCACCTATTATTGCCCTTGAGAATAAGTTGATAGTTGATAGGAAGATGTTATAGCTTGTGCTCAAATTTATTAATCTAGGTTTAAATTTTAGGGGACAATGGCCATTCTTTTATTTAGAGGTATGAATTTAGATGATGCTTGATCCTGCACAAACTCACAAATAAGGGTGACAAAATTGGTGGCACGACAAAAAAACACTAACAAAATACGACATAATTAGAAAATACGATTATAATGGTAAATTATATAATGAGCACAACGCGGTATTGCACAACTCAAAGTACGACACTAAAAACACGGAATAAAAAACTTGACTGAGGGTATTCGTTTGAGATTTTGAGTGACATTTTGTTTTTAAGATTTTTAAATTTAAGAGAATTCCTTATAAACCTTATGTTTGGAGGTAGATCCTACCAAGAGCTTAGCAGCTAAATCTCAAATGCCCAATTAACCCTACAATGAATAATTGTAATTAGGAGCTGCTAATGCATGTTCTTGTTTAATAATACTTCTTAATTGCACTTGTCCATATATGTGTGTTGTGGTCTATCAATTTAATTGGTTAATAAGCTGTAAAATAATTTTGGTAGAGATTGATTTTGCTTTCCTTCGTGTACAACCTTCATTATTGAGCCTTCGTTTACATACTACGACGTGTAGATAGCCCAACTTGTGAAGCAAAATTTGTAGATTGGCCCATTATTTGTACTACTTAGGCCCATAATAATTAAGCCTACGAGTCCTAGGTGGGTTGCATTTCAATAGGTAAATACTCAATGGGGTGTTCATTTTTTCTTTTTCTTTTTTTTTTCTTTAAAAAAAATTATAATATATTTAGTTTCTTAATTTACAAAAAAATGCCATTTTTTCATATTTCAAATGAAAATATGTATAATAAAGTTAGTACTTTGCATTTTGGAATTTGGTTCATCGTATATTATTTCCTTAAAAATTTGTTCGAACAAACGATCCACTTAATCGTTGGCTGAATTATAATAGAATTTATAGTTTATATATTGGATGAGTGAAGTAATATAATGTAGATGTAATTAATTTATGAAAAGAGAGGAAATCAAGGTAATGTTTTTTTTTTCATGGATGAACATAAGACAAGTTTGTCTTAAAAGATATGGGATTTAACCTTAGTATACATATATATTGTATTGATTAAAATGATCACACACATTTTTTTTTTTTATTTTTTTT